GAATTGCTGAGTGACTCTCAGTTTTAAAAACCGCCACTTCTTGGCACACTTCATTGGAAGCGAATTATCAAATCCGGTGGGAGCACACATAAGACCAATACTGATGTGATTAATTTTTCTAAATGGTATTGCAATTTAGAAGTAAACACCTCGAGATGTGCACGAGTAGATATGTCCTTGTTTCTAATGGCACTTTGTGGTTTCGGAGTTGGCTTCCCCTCTGCTGTTTGTGCAATTCTGAATCTGATTTCTTTGAAACAGATAAGATCATGGTGCATTACATGTTCAGTGTTAAGGCTCTTGAGGTCAAACTAACAGGAAGCTGCTACTTTAAGCTGAGTCAGAGCATTAATATTATGAGTTTTGTACTGCTTACTGAAGTTCAGATTTTAGGTTGGGGACTTTCTCAGACTGGTGTGGAGACGACATTTCAGGCCCATCTACACTGCCATATAATACAGATTATACATTATCTGTTTTGAAGTGGATTATATTGAGGTCGAATTTAGGCTAGGACTGCAGTTAAAGGAGGGTCCTGCCTGGCAAGCATTTACGTGAACACCAAAGTTCCAGATTAAAGGACATATTCACCAGAGATGAAGAGAGCCACAGGGGTTTAATTACTAGGCATGTGCAATCCATGGTTCTAAATGGTTCTAAATGTACTTACAAAACTAAAGTTCTGGTGGTGAAAATTAGGGGGCGCTGGTGCTTTGCTTCTAAAGTGTTGCTAAAGTTCTGGTGGTGAAAATTTCAGAATTCTAACAGAACTTTCAAAATTTCGTTATTATTTCATTATTGATATTTTTATGACAGAACCAATTAGCAACTGCCATTTATAATGAAATTTTGAAAGTTTTGTTAGAGTTTTGAAATTTTCCACCACAGAACTTTAGCAACACTATAGAAACAAAGCACCAGCGCCCCCTAGTTTTCACCACCAGAACTTTAGTTTTGTAAATATTTTAGATCCATGGATTGCACATGCCTATTAATTAGGATCTGGCCAGAAAGGATGCAAGCATGGCTAGTGCCAAAAATACAATCATAATCATACAGAGAAATACAGGATATCTTACACATTTCTAATAGCTATTCACACTGGTTGGCCAGAAAAGAGGCCGTCTAGGATTCATGCCAGGATTGGTTGGCAGGGGAGAAGAGCAGCCGAGAATTGGTCAGAGCGAAGGACTGGTCAGCTGCAGAGCCGCCCCTGTGGGAGGGCACATTCTGGGAAACACAAAGTAAAGATATGCTGATGGCTTTTGATGAGCTCAAGTGTCCTTACTTTACTTACTTAGGCGATCCCTCATTGTCTGAGTAGGATTGTCTTCCAAGATCAGTATACTGGCGGTGGGTCCGTAGGTGACTGTGCAGCCCTATTCTTGATCTGCATCTTCTCCCGCAGTGAGGGCATTGGTTTCCAGGTGGAAGGTGGTTCCAGCAAGGGTTGGCTTGACATGACTTCCTGTTGGCACATTTCTCTCTTTTGCCCTCCTTTCGTGCCTCTTCAAATTCTACAGCACTGCTGGTCACAGCTGACCTCCAGCTGGAGCTCAAGGGCCAGGGCTTCCCAGTTCTCAGTGTCTATGCCAGAGTTTTTAAGGTTGGCTTTGAGCCCATCTTTAAATCTCTTTTCCTGCCCAACAACATTCCGTTTTCCATTCTTGAGTTCGTAGTAGAGCAACTGCTTTGGGAGACGGTGGTCGGGCATCCGGACAACATGGCCGGTCCAGCGGAGTTGATGGCGGAGGAGCATCACTTCAGTGCTGGTGGTCTTTGCTTCTTCCAGCATGCTGATGTTCTCTGTCTTCCCAAGAGATTTGCAGGATTTTTTGGAGGCAGCACTGATGGAATCATTCTAGAAGTTGCATGTGACGTCTGTAGATAATCCACGTCTCGCAGGCATATAGCAAGGTTGGGAGGACAATAGCTTTATAAACAAGCACCTTGATATCACTATGGATGTCCGGGTCCTCAAACACTCTCTGCTTCATTCGGAAAAATGCTACACTCGCAAGTGTCCAGTTCCATGCCAAACAAAAGTAGGGGGTTCAGAAAACAAAGGTGTAAGACAAAGGTTTGGCTGTCAACAAAAGAAGTTTAACACATATAGACAGACAAACAAACAGACAGACAGGTTTGGGTTTAGCAGATTTTTTTTTATCGTGTCAGGAGACTTACATTACGATTCAAAACAGTAGCAAAATTTCAGTTATGAAGTAGCAACGAAAATAATGTTATGGTTGGGGGTCAGCACAACATGAGGAACTATATTAAGGGGTCGCAGCATTAGGAAGGTTGAGAACTACTGGTATAATGTGTACTCAAGTTTATATTACAATATAGGAAGATTAAAAGATATACTGTCTTCCTCGCCTTAACCAATTTCCTATGCAATGCAGAGCTGGACATCTATATGGGAATGCATCAAAACTTAAATATAATGCGGCTTTGAAATAATTCTACACTGTAGTACTAACACAGTTCAAAACCACTTCAACTGCAACAATTCTGCGGTGCAGATGCACCCTGAGACTACTTCTGCACTTGGCCCTCCAGAATTTAAAAACCTTTCCAAATGGTGAAACAATTATTTCTTTGACGAACGGGCTCATTAACCAGGATTGCCCCCTTCTGGCTGTCTCGTTCTCTACGATTCCTGGCAAAGATAATAAATAAGTAGCTGGCTTGGCAGAAATGCAAGAGAGAACGTGTCAATTTCCTTGCAAGAACTGATCTTGCCAATCATACCAACTCACTTGGTGGATGCACAGCACAGAAGAGAAAATTAGTTGTTGCAGCTCTGGCACATCTATACTCACCTAAAGGAAGCCCAGCAAAAAGGACATGAACTCTAACTGAAATCAAATGCTAGATATGGAAGGATTAAAGCAGTGTTTCTCAACCTGGCGGTCGTGACCCCAGGATTTTCTGTTGGTTATGGGGATTCTGTGTGGGCAAGGGTGGCTCAAACCATTACACAAAGTAAGCATTTGCAGTATAGTTGATTTTGCCCAGGGGTGCTCTTGAGGCGCTCTTGGGGGAAAATAGACCTTGACATATGCGAGTTGTAGTTACTGGGATGTATAGTTTACCTACAATCAAAGAGCATTCTGAACTCCACCAATGATGGAATTGAACCCAATATGGCACACAGAACTCCCACGACAAACAGTAAATATATATCAGTGATTGGTTGGGGGGATGCCAAAATACTGTTTGCTTACCTAGGGCCTCCTCTGTGTGTGGGGAGTTTGGCCCAATTCTATCATTGCTGGGGTTCAGAATGTTCTTTGATTGTCGGTGAACTATAAATCCCAGCAACTACAACTTCCAAATGCAAATGTCTATTTTCCCCAAACTCCACCAGTGTTCACATTTGGGCTTATTGGGTATTTGTGCCAAGTTTGGTCCAGATCCATCATTGTTTGGGTCCACAGTGCTCTCTGGATGTACATGAACTACAACTCCCAAACTCAAGGTCAATGCCCACCAAACCCAGTATTTTTTGTTGGTCAGGGAAGTTCTGTGTGCCAAGATTGGTTCAATTTCATCACTGGCAGAGTTCAGAATGCTCTTTTATTGTAGGTTAACTATAAATCTCAGCAACAACAACTCCCAAATGGGAAAATCAATCCCCCTTCTCCAACTCTACCAGTATTCAAATTTGGCACAAATACCCAATTTGGGCGTATCAGGTATTTGTGCCAAATTTAGTCCAGTGAATGAAAATAAAATTTGCATATCAGATATTTACATGACGATTCATAACAGTAGCAAAATTACAGTTATGAAGTAGCAATGAAAATAATGTTAATGGTTAGGAGTCACCACAACATGAGGAACTGTATTAAAGTTTTGCAGCAATTCAAAGGTTGAAAAACAGTGGGTTAAAGGATAAAGCGATTGCCACCACATAAGAGTTTTGCCTCCCCCAAAATATTTCTTCACTCCTCAAATTACTAGCATTGCATAGAGTGAAACATTGGGAATTACCTGTATCTAGAACCTTTGCATTTGTGATGTAGATATCACAACCCTGACTCTTTCTTTGGATGTCTAGATTCCATTTCTAAACACCAAATTGGAGTATGAAGTACCTGCAAGGCCAGAATTTGGGAGATTAAAAAGAAATTTCATTCAAGGGACGCAATTCTTGAGTTGTCAAAGTTCTTCATGACAGGAATCACTGGGTTACTGTGAGTTTTCCGAGTGTTTTTTTTTTAATACTGATAACCAGATTTTTTTCATTTTCATGGTTTCCTCCTTTCTGTTGAAATTGTCCACTTGCCTGTGGATTTCAATGGCTTCTCTACGTAGTCTGACATGGGTGGATGTCAGAGCGGTCCAGCATTTCTGTGTAATCGAATAACAATGCTTCTGGAACATGACCATACAGCCCAGAAAACTCACAACAACCCAGTGATTCTGGCCAGTAAAGTCTTGGATTATCTATATAAATAAAAATGTAATGTTCATTTGTGGGATTAATATAACTCAAAAACCACTGGACAAATTGACACCAAATTTGTGCACAATACCCCTCTCAAGCCAACAAGTGACCATCACTCATAAAAACACTGAAAAACACAGCAGAAGGGACATTAAAAGCCAAAAAACAAAAAAATACATTACAACGCATGCGCATAACCACATATATACACAAACACACATATATACACATATACACAAATATATGCACACAAAGCACATATACACAGACTGGGCCACAGCAATGCATGGCAGGGGACGGCTAGTACATAAATAGAATTAATCTTTTTTTTTTTTTTATCATATCTAGGTTTCACCAAGATGAGATTTCTACAAGCATGCTCAGATTATGTATTTCTCCAACCATATTAACAACTTTGGTCCTACAAACTAATCTATTTTATTTATTTTATAGTTAATAGTTGTCATTGTTGAACAAAACTAGTAACTGTCACAAATCTAATTCTGATTTTTTGTCCTCTCTCCTTCAACTCTTTGCACGGCAGGTTTTGAGTCGAATTCAATGGCTCCCGGTGGAAACATGATGCCAAATCTAACGTGCAACGTCACAATTGATGACTTCCGAAGCCGAGTGTACCCCATGACCTATTCTGTGATTTCTGTGCTGGGGTTTGTTGAAAATGCCTTTGTGCTGTGCGTCCTCATAAGGACGTACCACGAGAAGACGGCCTTCCAGATATACATGCTCAATCTTGCTATTTCGGACCTGCTGTTTGTTTGCACGCTCCCTTTACGAGTGGTTTACTATGTTTACAAAGGCCACTGGTTCTTTGGCGACTTCTTATGCCGCATCAGTTCCTACACGATGTACGTCAACTTGTACACTAGCATTCTTTTCATGACTGCCATGAGCTTCTTCCGCTGCATTGCCATTGTGTTTCCCATCCAGAACATCCATTTTATCACAGAGAAAAAAGCCAAAGTCGTTTCTGTTGCGATTTGGATCTTTGTGACACTAACAAGCTCACCGTTTTTACTGAGAGGTTCACACTGGGAGGCTGCGACGAACAAGTGCAAATGTTTTGAGCCTCCAGAAAATGGGCAGATGCTAAAGCTGGCGGTCCTGCATTACATTGCATTGATTGTTGGCTTCATTATCCCCTTTGTCACCATAGTTATCTGCTATGCCATGATCATCCGGACTTTGTTAAAAAAACCATTGCATAAGAAGGAAGCCTCCCGTAAAAAGGCCATGTGGATGATGGTCATTGTGACCGTTGTGTTCCTCTTGAGCTTCACGCCGTACCATATCCAACGCACTGTCCACATCAATTTCATGATGAGAAAGGATACCAGTTGTGAGGATACGCTCTACATGCAGAAATCCGTGGTGATCACACTTTCCCTGGCTGCTTTCAACTGTTGCTTTGACCCTCTTCTCTATTTCTTCTCTGGAGGCAACTTTCGGAAGCGGCTCTCTACTTTCCGGAAGACTTCCACCTCCAGCGTGTCACAGACGCAGAAGAGGAACATGTCCTTGAAGTACTTCAAGGAGGTTACCATTGAGGAAAAAACACCAGAAGATGTGGAACTATAGCCCCTCTGCTTTGAAGAAGCTGGTGCAGTTTGAGTTGAGATAGGAAGCCAGGAGCTCATCAGCATGATACTTCTTCATGGATGCAGAATGCTGTAGTGCGGTGTTTCTCCACCTGGGAGTGAAAGAGGGGTCGCCAAAGACCTCTAGAAGACACATATTTCTAACGGTCTTGGGAACCCGTTTGGCAGAGAAGGCTGAAGATCTCTCCGTCTGCTTCTTATCCTTTTTGGTGTTGATGAACTACAACTCCCAGACGTCAAAAACAGCCACCCCAACGACACCAGTATTCAATGTTGGCTATGTAGGTAGTGTGCCAAGTTTGGTGCAGATCCATTATGGGCTGGGTTCAGAGTGCTCTTTGATTGCAGGGGAACTATAAATTCCAGCAACTACAACTCCCAAATGTCAAAGTCTATTTCCCCCAAACTCCATCACTGTTCACATTTGAGCATATTGAGTATTTGTGGCAAGTTTGGTCCAGATCCATCATTGTTTGAGTCCACAGTGCTCTCTGGATGAAGGTGAACTACAACTCTAAAACTCAAGGTCAATGCCCACCAAACCCTTTTTTTCTTGGTCATAGGAGTTTTGTGTGTCAAGTTTGGTTCAATTCCATTGTTGGTGAAATTCAAAATACTCTTCGGGTGTAGGTTAAGTATAAATCCCAGCAACGGCAACTCCCAAAATGACAAAATCAATCCCCCCTCAGACCCACCAGTATTCAAATTTGGGCGCATCAGGTATTTGTGCCAAATTTGGTCCAGTGAATGAAAATACATCCTTGCATATCAGATATTCACATTACGATTTATTTTCATAGCAAAATGACAGTTATGCAACGAAAATAATGTTATGGTTGGGGGTCACCACAACATGAGGAACTGTATTAAGGGGTTGCAGCATTTGGAAGGTTGAGAACCACTGCTGTAGTGCAATATTCATTTTCTCCCACATCAAACTAACCATTGCATGAGAAGGTAAAATAGCAAAGGACATCCCTCTCTGTCCCATTGAATGTTTTTTCCTGCAAACTCAGCAGCCTCCTTTTTAAACCCAGAGGGATGGGGAGGGGGAATCAAAGAAAAAAATGCCAAAGACTGAAATACATTTGAGGGAACTGCTAGCAGGGACATAGTGGGAAAACACAGACATTCTTTGGGGGCTCAGGAGGTTACAGCGGAGCAGCGACCGAGAAATGCAGCCTGATGTTGGGTTAATACAAACAGACTTGGAATCCCCCATCAGGGCCTTTGGGCAAACTTTCAAGACATTATTAATGGCGGTACCAGTGGGAAATGTAAACACTGGCTGCGGTGGGAATGAATGGAGCCTCTGCGATGAAACAGAGAAGTACAGAAGAGTGAGGTACGTGTTCTGCATCCGCAAAGAGACGAGGAGGTCACAGTTGCCCGTCAAACCCTTCCTCATTCCCAGCACCAGAGCCATGCTAAATATTATTTAAGAGATAGGCTCTAGACCAGTGTCTCTCAACCTAGGAGTTGGGACCCTTGGGCGGTCACGAGGGGGTGTCAGCAGGGTCGCCAAAGACCAACAGAAAACACAGTATTTTCTGTTGATCATGGGGATCTGTGTGGGAAGTTTGGCCCAATTTTATCATTAGTGGGGTTAAGAATGCTCTTTGATTGTAAGTGAACTATATATCCCAGCAACTACAACTCCCAAATGTCAAGGTCTATTTTCCCCAAACTCCATCTGTGTCCATATTTCAGCATATGGAATATCCGTGCCAAGTTTGGTCCAGATCCATCATTGTTTGAGTCCACAGTGCTCTCTGGATGTAAGTGAACTACAACTACCAAACTCAAGGTCAATGCCCACCAAAACCTTCTAGTTTTTTCTCTTGGTCATGGAAGTCCTGTATGTCATGTTTGGTTCAATTCTATCATTGGTGGAGTTCAGAATCTCCGACTCTTCGTGACCTCATGGACCAGCCCACGCCAGAGCTCCCTGACGGCCGTCACCACCCCCAGCTCCTTCAAGGTCAGTCCAGTCACTTCAAGGATGCCATCCATCCATCTTGCCCTTGGTCAGCCCCTCTTCCTTTTACCTTCCACCTTCCCCAGCATAATTGTCTTCTCTAGGCTTTGCTGTCTCCTCATGATGTGGCCAAAGTACTTCAACTTTGTCTCTAGTATCCTTCCCTCCAGTGAGCAGTCGGGGTTTATTTCCTGGAGGATGGACTGGTTGGATCTTCTCGCAGTCCAAGGCACTCTCAGCACTTTCCTCCAGCACCACAGCTCAAAAGCATCTATCTTCCTTCGCTCAGCCTTCCCTAAGGTCTTTGATTGTAGGTGAACTATAAATCTCAGCAAAGACAAAACCAATCACCCCTCCCAACCCCACCAGTATTCAAATTTGGGCTTATCTGGTATTTGTGCCAAATTTGGTCCAGTGAATGAAAATACATCCTGAATATCAGATATTTGCATTATAACTCATAACAGTAGCAAAATTACAGTTATGAAGTAGCAATGAAAATAATTTTATGATTGGGGGTCATCACAACATGAGGATTAAAGGGTCACGGCATTAGGAAGGTTGAGAAATACTGCTCTAGGTTTTTGGTGGTTTGGGAGCAACCTAACAATTGGATGCTTCCTTGGGACACATGAGTTTTGAGATCTCAATAGAACATCAACTGCAAATATCAGAATAGTGTGTGATTTTTATTTTGAAAATGAGTTACAAATTATCAGTGTTGTTGCAAAGCATGACATTGGATGTCATGTATGTACATAAATATATTCTTCAATGTGGATATGTGTATGTAACTGCCCCTCCTGCCTTCATGGTTCTTTCTTGTGTAAATTAAATGAAGACCATAATGGTGAGTAGTGTGTCCTTTGTGGGGGTGGTTGTATCCGACGGCATTCCAAGGTCATGGGTGGAATGAATGCAGCTTGACCCTGTTTTAACTGTCCTAGCTCAATGTAGTTTGGCGAGGCATCATCACCCTTTGGCATACTACAACTCCCATGATTCCATAGCATTTAGCCATGGCTGTCAAAGCAGTGTCAAATTGCACTAGCGCTACAGCATTGACATACCCAGAGTGGACTCAAAATGACAAAACTGGGTGATGGCCTGGAGAGATTCCCATTGTATCTACTCTCTTTGGCCCCTTCTACACGGCCAGATATTCAAGATTATCAAAGCTAATACTCCACATTATCAGCTTTGAATTGGATTATATCAGTCTATACTGCCATGATGTTAGGATCACCATATCAGCCCGGGATTGGCTGCTTTGGTTCCTGCCGTAAAGAAGGGATGGGGGGGGCGGCGGGCTATGTATAGTTGGGGAAGGTAGTAGTCGTGGGCAATCCGTGGTTCTAAATTGTTCTAAAGTACTTGCAAAACTAGGGGGTGCTGGTGCTTTGCTTCTAAAGTGTTCCTAAAGTTGGTGCTTTGCTTCTAAAGTGTTCCTAAAGCTGGTGCTTTGCTTCTAAAGTGTTCCTAAAGTTGGTGCTTTGCTTCTAAAATGTTCCTAAAGTGGGTTTCACAGGACGTCTAACTCTTTGTTTGTCTCGCAAGTCAGATGTTCCCACCTCAACATCTTTAAATTTACTCGCCCAACAATGCACAGTACTCACATCAACACAATCACCATAAACAGCTTGCATTCTCTGATGAATCTCCTTTGGGGTGACATTTTCTGCTGTCAAGAATTCAATGACTGCACGTTGCTTAAGTCGCATTGACCAACCGTCTGTGCAGGGTTCCATACTTCGCACTTTGACAACACAACCATTCAATGCTAAGACCTCCTGCCAAAATGGAACTGTAGAGGAGAGTCTATTGAACAAGCCAGTACCTGCCGCATACCAATACTGCCATCTGTTACGGAGCTACGAAGGTGGAGGCATTACTTTTAATTCAACTCTCGTACATTCCCAACAGGATCCCAGCCTTTGTCTACAATGCGGTGCCCCTCTCCATCAGGGATAGATTCCTGGACTTCTTAGGAACACAAGACACTGTGCATAATAGCAAGCAAACCCTATTGAAATGAATGACTTCCACCAGAAGTTGTCATGGGGTCACCCCGGAGGTCCTAGAAAATTCGCCGAGAGGACATGTTTCACCAGATATGGGTAGATAAAGCTATTGGCACTGGTCCTGTGTGAATGGAGGCCGTACTGTTCTTTTGTCCAGTCTCCCCATTCAGGCTGTATCTCCCAAATGGCTCCCTAAAGAATACAAAATGCCAAGAAAGGAAGCGAATGGAGTCCCAACAGCTGCTGAAATCCACAGACACTTTCACATGATGAGATACAATTATAATTAACAAGCCATTTGAATATAGTTTCTCTTTACAGGTGGTTTCGGATGAGGCTTTTAACACGCTGTTACTGAGAAGGCGCTTCCCAGGCAGTCCATTTTTAATCCATAATAGGTTTTCCAAGGTAAGAGGGAAAAGATGGAAGAACTGGCAGAAGGACAAAGGAAGGTGTAAATGGGAATTTAACTGTGTGGAACTGCCATAACATCCAGCAAAAGGGACAAAGCAATGTCATGATAAGAGCTTTCTCTTGAAACTACCCTTTCTCCTCACATTATAGATCAGGCACAAGACAACTTCAGCTGTCCGGGTGTTTTGGACTTCAAATTCCACAATTATCTATATACTCATTATTATGTTACTTGGGAAAGGAAAAACAATTGCTTTTGTGTCCTTATGTGCATCTACACTGTAGAATGAATGCAGTTTGACACCACTTTAACCCTCATGGCTCAATGCTAAGGAATCATGGAGATTGTGATTTGACAAGACACTAGCACTCTTTGATAGAGCAGGCTAAAAACCTTCTCATACTAGAACTCCCAGGATTCCGGAGCATTGAGACATGGCAATTAAGGCGCCACCTACACTGCCATATAATCCAGTTTCTGATCCCAGATTAACTGCTTTGAATTGGGTTATATGGCAGTGCAAACTTAATATGATACAGTTCAAAGAAGATACTGAATAATATCTGAATCTACACTGGCATAAAATCACATTATCAACACAGAAAATCCCTATGATCTGATTTGAACTGGATTGTATGAGTCTACACTGCTATATAATCCAGTTCAAATCAGATAATCTGGATTTTTATGGGAATGCAGGTGGGTCCTATAAGCAGTGTAGATTCAATGTATTGTCGAAGTCTCTAATGGCTGGAATCACTGGATTGTTGTAGGTTGAGACCTCACTACCTCTGAGGATGCTTGTCATAGATGCAGGCGAAACGTCAGGAGAGAATGCCTCTAGAACATGGCCATATAGCCCAAGAAAACCTACAACAACCCAGTGTAGATTCAGCTGAAAAGTGTGCTGAACAGTGTACTGCAGACACCCCTTGTCTATGCATGCCCAGTGTGGAATACATTTTACCACGTTAAAACGGTGGATGTGTTTCTTAATGAGACATGTCACATTATCACAGGGTGTCTTATGTCCCACACCACTGGAGAAATTACACTGTTTAGCCAGTTTGCACTGTTTAACATCCATCAGGAAGTAGCAGCCTGTAATGAAAGGACCAAGGCAGTGACATCTCTGGCCCATCCTCTCTTTGGATATCAGCCAGCATGCCAACATCATAAATCAAGAAATAGCTTCCTAACATCTATAGAGATAGTCACAGGAA